CGTTTGAACCAGTAAGGTCCAATATGAAACCAGGGTTACCAGAGGACCTTACTGGAGGAGCAGTGGATCTTATCTGGTGCTGGCCCATTTAGTAACTTAGTCCAGAATTCTACCACGAAAACCAAAAATATATATATATATTTTTGAAAATAAAAGGTTGTGTCAGCAACAATCTACAACAGGTGTTATTTTTTTCAAGTCCAGAGAGGCAGTCCATTTCCCTTTTCGCTTCTCAAAGTCAGTTTAATATACTACTCAAAGCCGCCACTTCTCAAAGTCAGTTTAATATACTATTGTCGGGTAACTTTTAGTAAAACCAAGCCACTTCCAGTGGTTTTCCAGTGGTACCAATGCTTCCGTTGGATGTTTCAAACAGCATCTGATACTGCTCCTAACGTTCTATCTCGTCACAGTGGAGTTTGTAGGGGGGAGGGGGTGGGATGAGAAATGAAAAAAATTTATTTAAACTAATGATATAATTTAACCACAAGATATCCTTAGAGTATTTTCGTTAGGGGCAATGATGTAGTGGTTAGCGTGTTGGAGAAAAATCTCCTGCTCATGCTATGATGATGACGGCGACGATTATGGTGATGATGATGTTGATGATGATGTTGTGGACGGGAAATAAACCATTGCACAGAAAAGAAAAAAAAGAATCCTAGCGTCTGTTTAAATGGAGGTGGGGGCCCCAGATAGGTGAGGTAACATCCCACCAAGGCGGGTTACCTCCCTACCCCCACATCAATGTAAACAGGCTCTAAGAAAGACTTTCTTAAATTTCCATTATGAAAAATCATCTAGGGGCCAAGATGAAGACAACCGGTTTTTATTGTAATAGATATCTCAAGTTATGGCATTTATGTTTGGAATGTGACTCTGCAAGGTGGATAAAAAACACTCCCACGCCAACTTACTGACGGCTCTATTATGTAGCCAATCTGGCAAAGACTGCCATGTATTTGATTTTCAATCTGAATAAATTAAGATAATAATTATGATAATAACGGCTTGTTAAAACGACAGAATTGAGAGATGCTTCAACGTTTTGACCACATGGCTACAAATAGTGAACTGCATGACCAATAGATCAATACGCTAGCTACATCTTACTTCTTCAGGAGGATAAATGTAAGCACATCTAGTTGAAAAAAGATAAAAAACAATTCAAAACCAAACAAATTTTCCCGTAGAAGAATGTTTCCATATCATCCAAGCACAACAAAATGTGATTAAAAGAGACACCAGGACCGAGGAATTCCATATAAAAGGGGTGGGGATACTCACCGCCTACGTTAGGTGCATAAATTTGCAGATTTTGGTCTTAAATAGAGAGTTCAGGACTGTGCGTGAAGGAAGAAAATAATAAAAAAAAGGAATAACGACATCCAATAACAACGTCCTCATCGCAACTCGAAATAACCAAAGCTCACATTTGACGGTCTTTTTAGAATGGTATCTTTTAGCAGGAATTCGATAAATCACAGGTCACGTCCAGATTTCCTTGAGGGGTTTAATTCCAATTTTCCGACGAGCATTCCCAAATCCCTCCTCAAGGGACTCACCCCTCCTTGGAATGTAGGCCTCGATCTTGGGAAGTAATTTTCGATAATTTTATCGTTTTGCGACAGGACGAGCGCTTCCAGAGGTATCCAACAACAACAACAACAACAAAACAACAAGCTTTATTTTCATGACCATACGACTAGAAATAGTATTACAAAAGCTGTTTTAAGAAGAAGAACTAAAATTTCATAACAGGAAAATTAAGGATCCTCAGAATTGGTATGATCGTTTTAAAAGATCTATAAAATTCTAGTGTTTGAGAACGTTCCTGTTTTATAAAACCTACAATTTTTTTACTATCGCGGTATCTAATAAATCAGGATTAAAGTAAGGTTGGTTAAAATATTCTGACATCTATAAGTGAGAGTGAAAGCTATTTTTACCATTGCAATGAAAAATGACATTACAAAAGATTGCTTGACGAAAGATTCTTCATCTTTAGACTGAATACACAAAATGCAGCTGACGATTTCTGGATTGATAGTGATATTTAATGGAAAACCACCAAGTTCAGCTCTACAAGCTCTACAAGCTCTACAAGGCCTTGTTTAGTTGTTAGTAACAGTTGGAAAATTGAGGGTGTGTCTTTCCAATTTGTGAGCCGTCCCCGAACTTAAAATGTGGTGTGGCATACACACCCCAACTTTCACTATTACCTGTACATGTTAGAATAGGGGGTATCATGGCATCAAATACGTTAAGGGCAAAAGCTGTTTTTAGTTTTATAAGATTCGTGTGTCGTCTCAAGGTAAAGAGAGCATGAAGAGCTTTCTTCTTAAGATGTTCATGTGACACTGAGAAATTCCCCGATGAGGACTTTCGATCCAGGGTCTTACACCTCAAAAAGGTTTCTATCCCTTCTTATTATCAGACAAACGTTTCATCGCACTGACTAAAAGCTACACCATCATGCAACTTGCTACCTAGCTAGATC